CCTCAGCTGCTCACGCCCCGCGCCCCTGTCTTACTCGCAGCAATTGCCTGCTGTCCTCCAGGATTTCCGACAGGACAGGCAGCAGCCTACCTGCTTCTCATTATTTCTCAAGCTCAAGGATCATGACTTGATTAGTAAGTACTTGTCTGGCTCTAGTCTCTGCTGTTTGATGAGCTGTGTGCCTTAGCGGGGAAAGAAATTCCTATCTGGCAGCATGACTTTGAACACAGATTGACCCGGCTGTGCAAACCTACCTGCATTTACTCGGAGTTATCTTGCAGATACCACCTCCACTCTATGTTTCTGCTTATCTGCTGCACCAGGAGGCACAGGTGACTGATTAATCACCAGCTGTAACATCTTAGAGCCCCCAAGAAAGAAGAACAAAAGAAAAGTCATCTTTTGGTGTTAAATAGTGTTGGTCTCAGTTTTCCATTAACTAAATGATTTGTAGCGTCCCATCTCTAATGAGCTGAACAATGGGAACCAGATGAATTTCAAATGTGAGGTAACTCTTTTTATTGTCACTAGGAATTAAAGCAGAATAAAATGGTAGTCGTAGCTACAGAACTTAGAACGTATCTGGCCTCTAAGAAATCTACCAAATGGAGACCTACTGTTAATATTTTATTTATGCATGTACTGTCATTTTGTAATACATTTTCTGGTGAATGAATTGAACTGGCAGGATAAGCAATTGGTTTAAAAAGGTGCAAATATCAACTTCCTAGAGAGACTCGGACAGAAACCCTTAGTACCACTGATTTGAATTCCATATTGTAAAGCTGACATAAGATAAATTGATGGCTTAATGGCAGATCTTGGGCTCCCTGGAACTAAACTTTTGTGAGGGTGAAATAAAAAAAAAACAATAAAACCATCCTCCAGCTGAACTTTGCACCTTAGGAAGGTTCCTCATTATTTCCAATGTTACTGGACCCAGAAATTATGTAGGTAAGCTAGGTGATTATTTATATCTTCCGTAGACAATAATCTCTCTCTTGATGTGTACGTGCGTTTGTGTGTGTGTGTGTGTATGTGTTGGGGGCACATAGTGAATTAATTTAACTGAATCGAAAGAATGCAAACTATTTCTATGCTAAGAAGAATCCTCTCTTGAGTAGGTCTTTTAAAATTAAATCTCATATCCACAGTGGGAAGCAAGTTGCAATACAGATTTACAAGGGGCATTGGCACCTCATATAGGGGCTCTGCAGGGATTTGAGGCAAGGTGGTTGCCATTTCAAAACATGGATTTGATTCCTTAGGAGTGGAAAAAAATAACAGCTTGGATTAAGAAGGCAATCACTGGCTTGTTTATTACATTTGAAAATGACATTTTCAGTGAAGTGAAGCAGCGGACAAGCTGTTGTTGACACTATATTCTCATTTTAATCCCATGAGTCTTGAAAACATTAAGTTGAACCTGAGCCATCTTCTTAAAGGGAATTAAGTTAAGACTAATGTAGAGATGATATTCAAAGGGTTGATGGCCTTCAATTGACAGATTTGTATCCAGCTGAGCAGAATGATGAACTCATTTCAAAGAGTCTACGCCATTCTGGCATTTTCTCCCTAATTCCCTTCTGGCTTTTCCCTAAATTCTCATCGATGTCATGTATGTTCTATTACTCTGTTGACTAATATATGTTCTACTACTCTTAGTCTGCAGTAGGGTGTTTAGAAGGATACCCCTAGAAGTTGCTGATGAATGGTTAGCATTTGAACCCCAATTTTAATTCTGTCCTTGTTACCAGTTAGCTCTCCAGCCTCGGGAAGTCCCCTTTGTTTCCAAATACTCTGACGTTTCTTCTTTGAAAGAAAAACAAAGGATAGCATTGCCTATATTCCATTATCAGGTATAATAACCCCAATAAAGGTCCTTGTTTCTGGGTATAATATTGTACAAATGTCATGCTTTGTGGTTTGATTTCTCCAGGGTTTAGGGAGAAAAAGCCTGTCTTACACACAAACAACTGAATTGTATATATGTGTGTGCATAGATTGCTTCGGTGGAGGATTCTTTCATCAACAGAATTTGTGAAGCTGAATATCTTATCATTGTGTGATGAATACTCACACACCTGTTTTCATGGTGAATTTGTTAAGGGCCCACTCTATTCCTGGTGATTGTTTAAGTGCTAGGAATAAACTAGTTACTAGAAAGGGCACTTTCTTGCCCTCTTTAGTGTGTGGGTCTTCTTGTGAGCACTGGGGCTTCTGTAAGAAACACAACAGAGTGATAAGACCATTTCAGACCCTGGAATTGGCTGTGGAGAAGTTAAAGCAATGTTATTTATGATAAAGCAATGATAAACTCGTGTGTCAGGGAGAGTGGCTTGGGAGAGTTTGGAAAGAGAATGCGGCAGTCATATGAAGATTGGGAGAAATTGACCTATAATGCAGATATAAAGGCCCAGGAGTATGAAATCTCTTGCCATATTAGGAAGACAGAAAGATGGGTGGAGAATTTAGGATTTGAAGGAAAGCAGAGGAGGAAATATGAATGGAAAGGGACACAGTCACTAGGGGGATGGAATAGGCTCTGCTGCAGACTTAGGATCTCACTGTTGTTGCCCAGAAAATGTTAAGTGTGCCTTATGTACTAAACATGTAAAGCCAACCAGTATTTCTTAAATAAATAAATAGATACATAAATAAATAAATAAATAAATAAATAAATAAATAAATAAAATCAGGGTTTGACGAAAGAGATAAACCCTCCACTTTATCTGTGGGATCTAGGAAGCTTGTGCCCCTAGGGGGCGCCAAAGGAAAACGTTTAAAGGAACTTTTGTCTCCTATACTGAAGAACACTGTGGTCCAGGTTTTTTGTCTGGTCAAAGGTTACCTGGCTTTTAACCCTATTAAACCAATAACCTGTCCCAAGCAGGAAAGGTGAATGGGCTTAGTTTCCATGCAGTTGGCCTTGGTTTTCACAGTGGAGAACTGTTTATCATCGGATGGGAGTGGGCAGGCATCAATGTTATTTTTAATCTTCCCCCATCTGGTAGTATTTGAGTAGAGTATCAAACAAATATGGAGCCAGAATTCACTCGCTGGATCCACTTGGCGAGAAAAACATGTCTATACTTAGAACTTTGAAGATATTCATAATTTGACACTTAGGATGTGTTTTTCTAAATACTACCCTGGCATATTTGATGAGGTCTTTCAGTAATGTGTACCAAGGAAGGCTACTGTTGAAAGGCAGTGGGTTGTAAGCGAGATTTTTCTGTATGTATCGGCTATCTATGGTTGGTGGTGAAAACATCTCAGACTGAGACAGATTTTCAAAGAAGAGGAGAGAAGCAGAAGAAAGTGGAGGCTGCCATGGCGAGGGGCAGAAGAAAGAAAAGAAAGGATTTGCTGAGATTTAAACATAGTAAAGAAAGCAAAGAGACGAATGGGAGTGCTTGGGAGAGAGTGGGTTTACATGCAAGGAATTCCAATGTCGTGTTCCCTGGGTTTGAGATGTACAGGTCATACACTGTAAAATATAATTCAACCTCAGGCAAAGAAAGCAAGGCCTTCTTCAATGGAAGCTGTGCTAAGCATCAAATAGTAAAAGCTTGGGGTGTTTTGAGAGTATACTCAACACTGCCTATATTACAGAAAAGTTTATCTACCTGGCTCTTGGCAAGACTCTTATCTCCCTGTTTCATGCCTGACAGCCACAGTCACACGCTTTATGCACCCTTTGCTTCTTCTGCAGGACACACTTCAAATAGAACCGTCCAAACAGCTAATCCGATAAGCAACCTGAGCAAACAGACACAGTCCCTCATGAAAGGGATAGGACCCCAAACTCCAATTAAACCCCAGAAGGCAATAATGGGCAACACTGTCCAATGGCGCCAATGATCTCCAAATCACGAGTCATTTCTAGCAGGAATGTTCATTGTAAGAACTCTCTGTTCAAACTTGCCCAGAGGTGTTTTAATGTCTGATCCAGCAAGAGTAAGCAGAGATGTTGAGGAGAGGACAAATTCATACAAAACGACCCCTAGCTGAACACCTCACAGATGTTTTCTTCCTAAATCGAGTCTGGTGATGCTTCCCTCGGTAAAGAAGACTGCCCACCCCTCACTTTCCCAGATATTTGTTGAACAAAGTGTCAGGTCATTAATTATCAATTGGTTTTAGTGAATTTAAAGACTGGATTCTTTGTCTACCTTCCCAAGGGTAGACAACATGGACTTTGTTCACGGAAGCACATCCATATTTGATGAGGAAGAGACAGAGGGAGAAAAGAGAGTGACAGGGTTGGTCTAAGTAATTCATTAAAGTCATCTACACTAAAACGTCCCCTTCAATGAATAAAAACTTCCTTTTTTTGCCAATAGCCTGTCATTCTTCAATTTCTGAGACCTGTTTATTTATTTATTCATTCAGAAGTCTGCGTCTGGGCAATGTAATAAGAGACGAAACCACAGTTGATCCCCCAAGGCCACTAAAATTTCCCAAATAAAAAACCCTGTCATGGGACCGTGAAGGATGGGGGGGGGGGCTTTGGGAGGGCATCAGCACTGCAAATCCATATTTAGCAAAAACTCGAACCCATTCAGAAACAAGCCACGCGGAAACCTAAGCCTTTAGAGTCGCTGAAGCAGTCTGCTGCGAGTCAAGCAAAGTGCCACCTTTTAAATCTAGGTGGTCCCCCCCCCCTCTTCTCTCTCCTGCTCCAGCGCCTGTGGACTTTGGGTGTCAGTGTGTGAGGCAAAAAGATTTTCCCAGTTGCTGTTAGAGAATTACAAACCAGAGTGGAAAAGTTAGCAATTAGTAGAAAAGTAAAGTTAGCCGCCATTTAGTTTCTTACGTTCTGAGGCTTGGAAGCCCCCCTTCTTCTCCCAACACACACAGCAAGGGAAGGATGCCCAAAGCCTAAGTCAGCAGAGGACCAGGTTCACACCAGAGTGAGGCAACCCTAGTTCTCTAGAAGTTATTTCTGAACAACCCAGGGGGGTGGAGCGGGGAAAGCAAAGGCAAGCCAGAGTTACCTGATTGATTGAAAAGACCGCAAGCCTGGGTATGAGCACTTGAAGGGTGACTTGCAGCAGCGATGTGCTCAGGCCCGCCAGGATGGCCCAGGTGAGCGGCAGGGGAAGCATGCTGTAGGTTGCGAAGAGTGTAAAGAGCACGTAGCCTATGCCGTCTCCCAGAAGCCCATAGCCCAGGCCCGCTGCCAGAATCTGGGTGGTCATAGCTACCCAAGTGACCACTCCGCTGTATTGCAGGTAGGTGTGCGACGTGGTGTCCTTCCTGACCACCACCAGGGCGCAGATCACCACCTCAATGCCGGTGAAGAAGCCCAGCAGGATGCCCTTGAGTGGGTCCATGGGGGCCGAGGCCAGGCTCAAGTGGAGGACCAAGAGGGTGAGTTTGGTTAGTACATCCAGCACGTTCATAACTACCTCGGATTTGCGCCTCTGGCCCAGGAAATAGCGTTGGTAGAGGCGCTCCAGATCCCGAGACTTGAAGGAGTTGCGTAGGGTAGGGAAAATGACCCCACGGTAGCTGTAGCCCCCATTGAGGAAGAAATCCGAATTACTCGGGGCACAGTCAAGGTGCAGGAAGCCCAGGTCGCCCCCGCCCCCGCTGCCACTGGCACTGCCGCTCCCGCTGCGTTCCGGGAAGACTTTGGTGCCGCCGGTATTGTGCGCTCTCTCTCCGGGGCCCAGAGAATAGAGGGGCAGCGTCGACTCGCCAGACAGCGGCGGCGCATGGTGGTTGGGTCCGCTGCCTACAGGGTTCGAGGCTTTGCGTGAGCCCCCGCCGCCGCCGCCCCGGTGCCCGTGGATGAAGCGCTGCTCGGTGATGTGCCGCACCGCCGTCTGCCACAGCAGCCGCTGCGGCCGAGAGCCGCTCCCGCCGTCGCCGGCCGGGGGCGTCGGGTGGATGGTGTAGAGTTCCTCGCTGCCGCTAAGGCAGTGCACATCCGAGAGCTCCATGGCTCGGGTTCGCAGGGAGGGAGGCGCAGAAACTGGTGGTGGCAGTTGGGGGGGGGGGTTAAAGACCCGAAGGCCCACTTGGCAGCGATCCCTTCTTCCCTAGGTTGCTCAATTGCAGAAGCCCTGAGCAGGGCCCCCACAGGTCAGGTCATAGTGCTCCAGGGAACGAGGGACTCTTGGTAGATTGCAGCGGACCCTTGAGTTCTGGCGAGCCACCTTCCCGCCAATCAGCGCAGATTGGATACGCAGTGATAGTGGTGGCAATTTGTCTGCGAAATTCTCGGCGCTCTGAACCACGCAGTCCCCTTTCTGCTCTCAGGATCCTTGGCTGGTTTTAAGCTCAGCGTCTTGGCGCAGTCTTCGCTGTCCAAGAGGCGCCCTGGCGGGGCGCTTCTGCTGCGCGTCGGGCGGATTCTGGCTGCGGCACTGGGCTCCGGACGCCCACGTCTCGGCGCCTGCAGCAGGGCTGGCCAAGGGTGACCGATAGGTAGGGTGGGTGCTAAGTTAGCAGCTGTGGCTACAATGATCGCCCTTCGGTTAACTCCATTGCGCCGGCATGGGGAGCCGGGGCGGAGCTGGAGGCGGGCGCAATGAAGCAGGAGGTGTGGGTGATGGTGAGGTGGCAGGGAGCCCCGCGGGAGGGCAGGAGAGAGGTGGTAGCCTCAGCACTAACAAGTCACCAAACAGTTAATTTGGAGGTGTGCCGAAGCTCTCTCTTCGGTTCTTTCCTGGTTGTCTCCACTTCCAGACAGCACGGGTTCTGGACCGCTGCATTCCTCAAGGAGGATGGTGGCGGGGCGCTAGCCCCAGGGTCCCAGCCTCTGCTACAGAACAAGGTCACCTCTGCTAGCAGCGTTTCTGAAGGGTCGTAGCACACAATTCCCATCCCCTTTACTTCGCTCTTTGGAGTCCATTGGGCCTTCCTGGACCTCGGGGTGTGAGAGGAAAGAACAAGTGGGGAGGTCTGCAAAACCAACTGAGTACGAAGAGAACCCACAGGCGCCGATTCCTGAACCCGAGAACCGAGTCTTGGCGGATGAGGCGACAGGCGAAAGATTTGGGCGACAAAAGAGGTTCCAGGCCGAGTGGAAGTCGATGAAACGCCTCCGGATCCAGGGAAGCGCGGTGCCACTCCGGCGCTCTGAACCACGTAGCGGACCGGAGCCTGGCAGGAATTTGGAGACCTGTCAGAGCGGTCAGACACCCGCGGAGACTTAAACCCGCCCCCGCGCCAAACCACGCCTCCGGAACTCGGAATGGGGCGGGGAGGAGAAGAAGTGTGGGGGCTGGGACACGGCGGCACCCAGATCAGCACAGGATGCCCCAGGTCTTGAAGGCCCGCACCAGTGGGTCTGGCGGGCACGGGCCGCAGCCCCGGGCCTGACTGTACGCTGCGGTGGAGCGCTCCAGCTGTCTGCGCTCACTGGTTCCTCCGCGGTTCTTTTTTAAGCACTGGCTCCTGTCCTTGGCAGGTGCAGAGCCAGGATCGTAGGCCGCTTTGCCCACGAACTCCTAGAGACCAGAAACACGCACTAGAGGGGTTCATTTCCGCTCTCCCCACTCGAAAGTGATGTAGTATGTGTGTGATTACGTGCGCGCGCGCGCGCGTGTCTCTTTCTGTGTGTTTAACGTCAACTTTCAGGCTAAAACCAAAATGCTCCCCAAAAGCTCCAATCATAGCAGTGGGCTACCTCCTACTAGTGTCTACTGTACTGGTCTGGAGGAAAGGCATAGGACATTAAGATGGGGGCGTGGCCTGCACCTTTCGGACACTAAATTTGTCAGGGCTCACAGGAGAGGTGCGAAGGAGGACCTCTTGGAAAAGGCATTTCCAGTGGCCGCCTTGAGTGCAGGTTTCCCGCCTGCCCAGGCATTCCAAGAATCGCAGACAAAAAACAAGTTGTGGCGCAGAGGTCCCCGCCTGCACAAGCGTTCCGTCTAGCGGGATCCTTGGGTGCCGCCAGTGCAGGAACCAGGTAGCTATGCCTGTCTGGAACCCGGCTGCAGGTGGTGTCACTCTCGGTGGCCATCACCTCTGCCACCGCGACTGCCTCTGCAGCCAGTAAAGCCCGGGTCCTGAACACAGTCAGCTGATGGCTAATGACGTAAGGCTCTGGGCGCTTTTGCAATCCTCCTACCTATCCCCGTGGCGTCCCATGAAAGCCTAACAGACCTGACCAAGCCATTACTTAGGTTCCCCCACAGGAGACGGAGTTTTTGCCTTTCTCTAGAGGAGACAAACTCCCAGCTCCTTTCTGTCCTAAGCAAAAAACCAGCTTTCCCTGTGGTGGCAGAGCGCCCTCCTCCCAACCCCCCAAGCTTTCTCAGGGTTATTTGTAGCGGCTGTGCCCCAGAAACGTGTGTTTTGCCTCTCCTTTCCGAGCTTTACAGGTCACCTGCCTTGCACAGAGCATCCAGAAAGAACAGGGTAAAAGTCCTCTAAGGCACCCCGGTTCTAATTCCCACATTTCTGGAATTTGGTGCAGTATACTAACTGGGGAAGATTGCTCAAGGGAGAACTCAATTAAACGTTGAATTTTAAATAGAAAGGAAGCTGATTCTTTTTAAAGTTCAGCTTGTGTGTATTTTAATCTGTCAACGGAAAGGATCTCGGGGAGTGGCTCCTCGACCCTCGGGAGCTGGAAGTTAAAAGTAAAGCATCTCAGAAAACAGTCTTCTTGTTACCTAGACCTTCAGATAGGATTCAGTCGGAACAGCTTGCTTCTCCTTTTCAGATTCTCGGACTCAGGCTTTCCTGGACCTTCAGGAATTCTGGGGTGGGCACTCTTGATTTGAAGGAGGCGGAGGGAGAGGGAATTATAAAATTAAGAGTTTTTCTGAAGTCTTCTAGTCTGGCCACAGAGGTGGGATTGTGGCTTTTCTGTTCTGGAGGGCATTGACCCAAGTTGCATGTGCCTATGGCCATCTTAGCAGAAGTGACAGAGAAGGACCCCTTTTCAGCTTGTCACTGGTTTCTCCTTGAAGCCCCAGCCTGGATCAATAAGGGGATGAAGGCAGATGGAACTTTCCTGTAAAAAAAAAAAAAAATCATCCTCCAACCTGGATGTTTCCCGGGATGATTTATTCACCAGCAAAAGGAGGCAGGCCAAAGAGGGGGAGACTGGGCCCAGTCAGATAAAATGACTCGGGTCAGTGAATGAGCATAGCTTGCTGCTGGGTGAAACTCCAAGAATTTCATGAAGTCAGAGGTTGAAGCAAACGCGACTGGGAGGAAGCATCACATCTGCCCCTCTGACCTTTTCTTTCTTAGAAGGGTTCTGTCACAGGCTACTGTAAGGCAAGAAAGCTTGCCACAGGATGATCCAAATGGGATTTTCCTCTCTGGGACGACATGGTGCTGGTCAGCCCCCAAGGCATGCTTTTCTTGAATGAGAACTTTGGTGGCGCACAAACACTATGCTTGTTTCGTAATATGCCCACCACCAAATGATTTGTTACTTACGACATCTCAAGTCACTGTGTTAGGACTAGCACACAACTCTAAGTGTGCTGTCTTTTATTCCCTAGGGCGCTCTCTTCTGTGATCTAGATACACTATTTTGAGATTTTAAATTTATTTTTGTATGTGATGACTATTTCTCTTTTTGTCCTTTTCTTGGACTACCTCCCCACCTTTCTCCCCTAAAATAAAGATGTAGCCCATTCTTCAAAGCTTGGGCAATGACATCTCTGCATAAGGCCTTTTATAGCATCCCTAGGGACCGTGAAAGATGCCCTCCCACATCATCTGGTAGTCTGCTTTGTGAACACTGGTACAGCTCCTACTAGAGGAGCTGGAGATCCTCCATTCATTCCTGTGTCTACATTTCTGTTTCTTCTCCTAGGGACACAGTGATCCCCTTTGAAGAGTGGCTAGATCTTCCTTGTTTCCATATCCCATGGCTTACAGAGAGTAACAAGGACAGTGACAAGTTTTCCAGTCCCCATCAGATGTCAAATCTTTCTAAGTCTCTCATAAATATCTCATTTAACCTTTTCCAGCAATTCTGTGAATCAGTCAGTTTTAGAGGTCCCATTTTACTGAGTAGACACTGAGGTTTCTTGTAGTTAAGTACCTTTCCCAGTGTGTCAGGGTTAGTTACATTTAGATGGTCTAGGCCTCACATGCACATACTTAATCAAACATCTATCATTGTCATAATCATCGTGATATCACACAGTAATCAATAATGATTAATTTAAGAAGAATGATAGAAGTGAACATATTAAATGTAAGTTGCTTTTCCACGGGCAAATTAAGGAATTTGTCAGGATTTTAGAACACAGCCTGGTTTAGATGGATGTAAGGCTTACTAATTTTGTCTTACTTCAAGGCATGTACCCACGCTATTTTTATAATTGTGAAAAAACAGATTTTCACATATTGGATTTAAACCAAACAATTGACTTAATTTATTTTATTTCCTTTGGGTGGTTTCATGGTGAGAAAATATTTTTTTTTCATCTTTGGAAGATAGCATTTGTTTTGTGATGTTGATGCCTGCCACTGACTACATTTACAGTAGCTATATTTTAAAAAAAAAAATTGGCTCTCCATTCCAGAAGTACCTTTGACTTCTTACAATTTTTTTCAATATTCACATATAGGTTTAGATTCTAGAAGACCCATACCCCTTTTCAAATGCCCACAGAAAGACGGGCCCTTTCTGAAGTCATTAAATATTTACCTGTAAAGGAAAAGTTGGACTGAGTTCAACTAGAGAGATCCTGTTTCTAAAGGAGCACGTTGGTAACAGGACAGCTTCCCCAGTCAGAAGTTCCTGAAGGAAAATGACATGTCTGCCTCCCCTGGAAAGCTGCTGTAAGGAGACGCCAGCAATATCTCTGCTTTGACAGAACCCCAGCGAAGCCAGTGTCTAAAGCTCACCGTGGAAAGGTCTGCATTAAAAAATTCGCACACCTATTCCATCTGGAACACAGCACAGTGTAAGGCAGGAGACTGAAGCATCAGCTTCACTCCTGTGTCTTCTCTGTCTTGAAAGACGCAAGAGGAAGCATCTTAGCAGGAACTAGTCTTAAATTAGCTTTTAGTGCCCGCAAAGAGACAAGTGTCCCCTCAGTAAGAAAACTGTTTTCAGACAGGAAAGGCAGAGCTCATGGCAGAGTCAGGCAAGTACCAGACAGGGGCCTCCAAGGGAGACAGACTTAAACACTTTCGGCTTCCTAAAAGATGATCTGTGGTTTAAACAGATGGTGAGGTAAGTGTGATTTCACTGTGACATTGTTGCGGAGATTCTAAAATTACAAGAACACACACCTGCACATGGTTAAGAAATAGAGAAGGGGAGGAAAGAGGGAGCTGAGGGAAGAAATATGGAAGGGACAGCTAAAACTAAGGCCATTTGAGGGCTTTTATAGAAATATAATACAGTAAAAACCTCCCTAGAATATGTACATTGATTGCCTGTAGCTCTTCACCTGGGCGTGAGGCCTTAGAAAATTTCTGCCATCAACATTGTCACATGAACTGGTGTCATTAGAGGATCTTGTGCAGATTTCTTGAAAATTTCTCTTTGGAACCTTTTTTGGGTTCATGTAAAATATTTAATCTGACACTTTATACAAATGATGCAACTGTTGCTATGAATTGGTATTTTCTGCACATGTGCAGATTCATTTTGTGTGTAGAATACATCCATCTTTATTTTTCAAAACTGATATATTTCTATTTCTTCTTGGTGGGTCAGTTATTTACCCCATGATTTTCATGGAGCTCTCATGTGTAGCTTCTTAACCCCAGGGAGATGCTTTTTAGATAGTTCTCAGGTGTGTGTGTGTGCGCGTGCGTGTGCGTGTGTGTGTGTGTGTGTGTGTGTGTGTGCGCGCGCGCGCGCGCGCATGCTCATCAGGACTTAGTCTCTTATCTTCATTACTCTGACAGTTGTGTCATGTAACTCTTCATCCACTTCTGCCTTTGGCAAAAAGAATCTTTTCTGACCAAGGTTGAGTGCAGCTCTGGTCTACAGACAGAAACATACATGTTCAGAAGGCAATTTGACAGTATGACCATTAGGTAAGAGATGCCATCCGGTGACATTTTTATGCGCTTGCCTTTGGTCTCATCTGCTGACATAGCACAATGCCCTTTCAAGAGGCCGTTACTTAGGATCCACATACTGTCTTCTCCCATAA